CTGTACCGTACAGTAAGTACTTGGCTCTTTATTATATCCTCTACCTTTTATAAGAGCCAAATCAAGACGAAAATGGAGTACTATTGCCACATTTGGGCGGTAGCAGCCTGGTATTCACTTTCCAGTTCAAACTTCTCACTGTGTCCTTATTGGAGAAGAATTTTTTTCCAACACATCAACCTCTCTCTCACAGGCGGGATGTGGAGAGCGTTTCACTGCCCTGTCGCCACCTTACTTGGCTAACTTGGCCAACAGTCTAACTCTCTGCCTTCGGGCGGAGAGGAACCTAGACGGGGCTCCGCCGAAGGGCAGAGTCTCATTCAGGGTAGTTGACTGCCCCTAAACCCCGTTTCTGCGGTTCCAAAGAGGGAATATTTTGGCCGAGCCTACGGGCTCGGAGATCTCACGTTAAACCCGGCCTTGTGCCACATGTAACCCTCGTGTGCGGGGGGAAGGGGTTAGCTAAATATCACTTACTTGGAAAGTGCAGAGACGAACTAAATTCCTTGGTTCCGCCAAGTCTAATCTTCACGGCTAGATCCCGCCATGCCACTTACATCGTAGCAAATCACTCACATTCCCTCCGTATTCCCTCGGCAAGAAGTAAGTCCCACTCGAACAGCATCTTCCTGCGAACCACTGCCCTGTGGAAGAGACTACCCAGATGATGTTGCCCCAATCACTACAATTGTTCAAGTCTGTTCAAGTCTAGAGTTAACCGTTAGCTTCCCCTACTGTTTATAGGAACTACCCATTCACGTAACCCTCTTCCTCGAATGCCTCCGGGCTTGTACAGGGTGAACGTTAATGTAAAAAAATATTCTAAACATACATATCTGTTTAGATATATACGAATACGTGATTAAACTGTACTTATCAGAGAATTATGAATTTTTATATTTGGCTTATTCGAACGTTAACCAAGCTGATTTGAACCGAGCAGTTTTAGAATTTTGTACCATCCGTGGAAAGCTGAAGTGAACAACGGTTGAAATATCGAACACGAAAGCAGCGGATAACGAGGCAATTAACCCGAAAAATAAATCAATAAAATAAGTAGAAGACTTTGTTTAAAAACATTTAAAATGTATTATCACTTTGTAACTTGGAAACCGTTATAGCCATTGTAATTTTGCCAGCTAAACATTGCCCTGGGACAAATAAACAAACTCTCATGTTTATTTCTCTCTCTCTCTCTCTCTCACACTCTCACTCTCTCTCTCTTTCTTTCTCTCTCTCTCTCTCTCACACACACACACACATATATATATCGTTCAATAGTGAATTTCTTTCTTTATTATTTATCTCCCACATAATAAATGTTCTCATATTTAATGAAAATTTTATACTTTTATTACTTTTATTCTTTTCCTATTTCTGATTTGTTTCTATTATTTTCATTAGATTAGTAAGTCAAACATTTGATAACGAACAGTTCACTCCGACATCCATTCGTTCCTTGTCATGGTAGGGGGCTTACTTGTCCCAGTGATCCCAAGAATAAAGCTGTTTGGAGTTCCAACTCCTGAAGGGCCACCCATGGTGTTAAGGTCGAAGAGGAATACCAACCCTCAAAAGTCCCATCGCTGGAATAGGCAAAGATCTACACGATCTCAACGGCCAAACTGGCAGTAGAGAGCGGCGCAAATTGGGCTCTGGTGTAACCAAGGCAGACTTTGCCAGACCAAGCCTCCAATAGCCCGATGTAAACCAGGATTGCCTGATCTTGCTTGTCACACTCCCCTTTGAGCTAACAGGTATGCACTTCTGACCAAATGTGTGGGCGTATCCGTCACTCAGAATTGTCCACCAAAATCAAATTCACGCGAATGGTCTCGTCAAACACGCTTTGATTCGCAGCCATCTCTGCCACCGCCATTTCGGGAGAGAAATGGGTTAAGAAAAGAGGATCCCGTTGCGAGCTGTTAGAAAATGAAGACAGTTTAGCCGCTAACGATAGTCAAGTTTAGATTCTACTCCAGTTCATCACATTTTTTTTGGTGGTGGGGGGAAGTTTTGAATAGCAAGGCAGGCTGTGCTCTTTAACCTTTGTTGTTAACCAGTCTAGGAGAATAACGACTCTCAATTCAAAATCGGAGAGATGTTTGGTGACTACGCACCAGGTCAGATACGATAACAATATCATGCACGGACGAATGGTAGATTTATAAATAAGCAACATTGATTCTGACGAGAAATGTTTTCTGACACACAGTGACCCAACATTCCTTGCAGTAGGTGCAGCTATTGATTCAATGTAGTCAGTTGAAAACGTGAGTCCAAAAAGGTGCAGTGTGTTGCCCTCCAAAAGTCTAGTTTTAGCCATACTGATGGCAGGCAAAAAAAGGTTATCTATTGTGGTTAAATGAGAGCAGTTTTGTTTTGGGGCCGTTAAAATTTACTTCTTTTAAAAAAGATGTGATGAAGTGAAAAATTTTATTTGGACTCTGTATCTCAGAAAATATTTTAACCGCTATTTTAAGTTTGTATCTCAAAGTTT